AAGTCGATCCTCTCTGGGACAGGAGTCAGTGCAGTCTGGCCAGGACTGGGGGGGATCGGGGTTTGGTGCGGGTGAAAATGCGGGCGGCAGAGTTTTGAATGATTTGGATTTTATGGATGGCAGTGGAGGGGAGACCGGTGAGGAGGGGGTTGGAGTAGTCCAGCCGAGAGGTGACAAAGGCATGGACCGGGGTTTCAGCGGCTTTTGGGGAGAGGTATTGGCGGATTTGAATAATCCCTCCAAAAATAAATGACTATGTGGTCACTTAATCCATAGTAATATTCCCTTCAAAAATAAATGATAATAATAAATCTTGGCTGTCTGTATCTGCTTTGTGCTGATTGAGACAGAAGAAGACACTTCATCAGATACAACAGTCTGTCAACGGCAATCCCCCCAGTCGGCACCACAAGATGCCTGTAAATTCATCATGAGTTTGTCAGCCTGATTTATATAGGTTTATAGGGTAATCTGACCATATCTATAACTTCATTGGCTCCAAACTCCGCACTCCCATCACTCCAGTCCTTGCCAGGCTCCCTGATGAGGAACTGATCCATTTCAAGGTCCTCAAACTCACCTTCAAATCACTTCAAATCAATTATTATTATTGTTGTGGTTATTATTATTGCTACTATTGCTGCTGTGGGTTCAAGCCTCGACATACCCACACGCACTGAGTTGCACATATACATATAGATCATAATAATCCTCACGTCTGACATAGCGACTTAACACGTCATTGAGAACATCTCAAAGCGCTTCACAGGATACACCGGAGTGAATTTTGTGGGTGAAACGCGGCAGCCAATTGCCCTCAGCAGCGTCCCCACAAACAGTCGTGGATTGAGTGACTAAATCTTTATTATATCTTTTGAGGGGTGGGTGGGGGGGGACGGATTATTACCCCAGGGAAAGCGATCCACCAATCGACTAACAACCGGGTTCCTGCTTACTGCTGGGTAAATAGAGTTGTGTATGTGTGTGTGTGTGTGTGTGTGTCTGTGTGTATGTATGTGTGTGTCTGTGTGTGTGTGTATGTGTATGTATATGTATATGTGTATGTGTGTGTGTCTGTGTGTGTGTATGTGACTGTCTGTGTGTGTGTGTGTATGTGTGTGTGTCTGTGTGTGTGTGTGTGTGTATGTGTATGTGTCTGTGTGTGTATGCGTGTGTGTGTCTGTGTGTGTGTGTGTGTATGTGTGTGTGTCTGTGTGTGTATGTGTATGTGTATGTGTGTGTGTCTGTGTGTGTGTATGTGTCTGTGTGTGTGTGTGTGTGTGTCTGTGTGTGTATGTGTATGTGTGTGTGGTCTGTGTGTGTGTGTGTGCATGTGTATGTGTGTGTGTGTGTCTGTGTGTGTGTGTGTGTGTGTATGTGTATGTGTGTGTGTCTGTGTGTGTGTGTGTGTGCATGTGTATGTGTATGTGTGTGTGTGTGTGTGTGTATATGTGTGTGTGTGTCTGTGTGTGTGTGTCTGTGTGTGGAGTCAGGAAACTTGCCTGGGGTTTCTCCCTGTACTGTCTCGCCCAGGGAATCGAACCCGGGTCCTCTCTCTTGCGAGGCGAGGGCTCTAACCCCTGAGCTTCAGTGACTCTCACCACTGCCCTTGATTCCAGGAACACCGTTGTCCTAAACGATTGAATGTGGACACGACCGAGGCTCCTCTTGCTTGGCTTCCGTCAGTGCCTTCACCTCAGGTGCTGACAGCATCAATGTGTGTGGGGATGCACACTCGACCTCATGGAGCGAGAGCAGAAATTTGGTATCTTGTTCGACTCTCAAATGTCCTTTAAACTGTCCTCCACTTACGGGCTTTGACCCGTTCGCTCGGCTTTCCCCCACCTCAGCAACACCGCCCACCTCCCAGCCACGACCACCTCCGGCCGCCCAGACCCTCAGACACGCTGCCATCACTTCCAGACCCGACCACACCAACTCCCTGCTCCCCGCATCCCCCCAAGTCTTCCCTCCACAAGCTACAGATCGTCCAGAACTCTGCAGCTCATGTCCTCTCCCTCATCCGGCTCCGCTTGTCAACCTCACTCACACTGACTCCATCTCCCATTCATTTAAGATAATAATAATAACAACAATAATAATAATAATATTCCTGGCATTTGACGCAGCGCTTCATCACGTCGTCGAGACGTCTCAAAGCGCTTCACAGGATGCACAGTAAAGTGAAGAGACGGGGTTTTTTTGTGGGCGAAACGCGGCAGCCAATTGCGCACAGCAGCGTCCCCACGAACGGTGGTGGAATGAGTGACCAAATTATTATTATTAATTTTTTTTGGAGGGATTATTACCCCCCCCCCGGAAAGGGATCCCCCAATCAGCCAACATCTGGGTTCCTACTGACTGGGTCAACAGAGGTGTGTGTGTGTGTGTGTGTGTGGAGGAAGGAAACTTGCCTAAGAGGGAAGGAGAGCGGAGGAGGGAGGGAGAGAGAAGGGGGGGAAGGACGAGAGCTAAAGAGGGTGCACAAGGAGTTGTTTCAGCTCCTGGAAAACATTGATTTCCCCCCCCCACCGCCCTGCGCTCCCCCCACTCCGCCCACCGCTCCCCCCCCCCCACACCCCCGCGCTCCCCCCACTCCGCCCACCCCCCCCCCCCACACCGCCCCGCGCTCCCCCCACTCCGCCCACCGCCCCACTCTTCCCTCCCAGCAGGAGAGCTAACTCTGGACTGTAGGGTTTTCGCTTCACACCCACATATAGTTTCTCTACTGTTGAAAAGGTTAAGCGAAAGACGCAAAAAAAAACACCTTCTCGTTGGTGTTAATCTGCAGGAAAGATGAGACCGTGAACATATGTTAATGCCTTCACAAGAATAGCCCCCACAGGGATACCTCGGCTGAAAGGAGGCGGTGGGGGTGGGTGACCAAGAGAGGGAGAGAGAGGGAGAGAGAGAGAGTGACCCCCTCCTTTTGCCAGTGGCACTGGGGGTCCTTTAACGTCCACCTTAACTGGACACCGACGGGGAGTGAGGTTTAACATCTTGTCTGTGAGCAAAACAGTATCTCGGGCTTGTGAAAGGCTGTGTTGCGCTCACACACACACCCCTACACACACACATACACACACCCCTACACACACACACACACCCCTACACACACACATACACCTACACACAAACACACACACACACCCCCCTACACACACACACATACACCTACACACAAACACACACACCCCTACACACACACACACACACCCTACACACACACACACACCCCTACACACACACACACACACACACATACACCTACACACAAACACACACATCCCTATACACACACACCCCCCATACACACACCACCCCCCCCACCCCCACCCCCACCCAACCACACACACACACACACACCACCACCATACACACACACACAGCCAAAAAATGTCCACCCCCCCACACCTTACGCCGGACTTCCTTAAGGACTATTTCAACCCACAGAGACAAGCAAAACCGCTTTTGAAAATATATATTATTACAGTAAGAACATCGATGATTATAATAATGATAAAAAAAAGTACACATTTCAACAGCGAGTTCTTCCACATCCCACTTGTATTCGCACAGCCTTTGCCCCCAATAAATGGAAAAGGACACCAAGATCATATCAATAATAATAATAATAATAATCCTTGCCTTTGATGCAGCATCTTATCACCCCGTTGAGACGTCTCAAAGCGCTTCACAGGACGCACTGTAAAAAGTAGCGACGGTGCAATTTTGGGGGTGAAACGCGGCAGCCAATCGCCCCCAGCGACGTCCCCACAAACAGTCGTGGGTTGAATGACCCAATTATTATTATTATTATTTCTTGAGAGGGATTATTACTCCCGGAAAGCGAACTGTCAAGTGACTAACAACCGGGTTCATATTTATTGCTGGTGTCCGTGTGTGTGTCTGTGTCTGTGTGTCTGTGTGTGTGTGTCTGTCTGTGTGTGTCTGTGTGTGTGTCTGTGTGTGTGTGTGTGTGTGGCGTCAGGAAACTTGCCTGACCTGACCCACCCGGGAATCGAACCCGGGTCCTCTCGCTTGCGAGGCGAGGGCTCTAACCCCGACACTACAGGGTCTCCATGATAAAGATGTCCAGGACATAAAGCTGTGGGTTAAATATCTACAGACAGTGCAACACAGTTTTTATTTACACATTTTTCTGGCACTCGATTAAAGGGGTGTGGGGGGGAGGGGGGGGCAGTTGGTGGGGGGGAGAGGAAGCGCAGGAATAATAATAATGATAATAATCCTCGCATTTGATATCGGCCCTTTATCAAATCGTCGAGAGGTCTCAAAACGCTTCACAGGATACACTGTAAAGTGGATGAAGTAAAGATGTTCAGCTGTCAACAGGCTCGATGGGCTGAATGGCCTCCTCCTGCTCCTATGTTCCTCCCTCCTCTCTTGTGAAGTGCTTTGAGACATCCTCCCGACGTGAAAGCCACCGGGTAAGCAAAGATTTTTTTTTGCTGTATTTCGAGCCCCGACCGGTTAATAATAGTAATAAATAGTAATAATAATCCCGGCATTTGACACAGCGCCTGATCGCGTCTTCGAGACGTCTCAAAGCGCTTCACAGGATACACCGTAAAGTGAATTGATCGTATATTTTGGGGGTGAAACGCGGCAACCGATTGCACACAGCGTTCCCCACAAACAGCCGTGGATTGAGAGACCAATTTCATTATTTACTCATTTATTTATTTATTTATTCTTCTTGAGGGATTGTCAGCAGACGTTCTAATTAATTATAATAATTATAGGATTATTATAACCCTCACATTCGACATGGATTTTAACGACTGTAAAGTGTAGTGACTGTGTGCGTAATGTGCAGACCTTAATGCACGCTCAGCAAGATCCCGCAAACGTCCAGTGAAGCACAGGAGGCCACACAGAACAAAGTATATGCAGCCCATCACGGCTGTGAGTTAATAGGTTCTTGGGTTTAAAAGACTTTCAAAACCCCACCAATCCCCCCGCCCACCTCCGCCCCCCCCTCCCCCCTCCCCCAGGTGGGGTGGACACAAAAAACATTTGAAAAGTTCTCTTCTTCTGCCTTTGGCTGAAAGTCACGTGTTTCTGGGTGAAAACGGGTGTCATTGTATCCTTGATAATCCTGAGTCTAAACACAACCCCCTCCCCTCACAATCCAGGGGGAAGGTCTCCTCTCTCTCTCTCTCTCTCCGTTGAAACTCGACCCGTTTTCCAGCTCCGAATCCTAAACCGTCCCAGTATTTGGAGGCAACCAACTTGCCAGAGAAGAAGGTGTAGAGGTGTAAGTGACACAGCTGTTTGAGGGTGCGGGGAAAGAGTGAGGGAATGTGTGTGTGTGGGTGGGGGGGGGAGTGGAGGGAGGGGTGTGTTTTGTTTAGTTAGAAAGGTATAAGTTGGACTTCCCCAAGTTATAGAGACGCATTTCAGCCACATTGTGTGGTGTCTTCGTCCAACAGAATCTCTCTCTCCGTCAAAGCAATGACCCCGGTTTGTTGGAGATGGGGTTGGGGAAGGAGGGAAGGAGAGGCGGGGTGGGGGGGGGGAAAGATAGAAGGCTGTGTGTGTGTCTGTGTGTGTGTGGGGGGGGGGTGGGCGGCATCTGAGATGAACTCCCAGCGAGTCCTTGTGATAAGCGAGGGCGGTCTTTGCACTTTAGAAGGGTAGAGTGTCCAGGAATAACTTGTCCACGATGGCGGGCGTGGGAACCAGATCGGCGAGTTTCACGTAGAAGATACGCTGGAGTCCCTGCGTGCAGAGCGTGCACAGTTCCGGTAATTTGCCCAGCAGTTTCGACAAGTAATTTGGTCGGCCTGGCTCCCCACCATCGCTCGTTGTCACGTGGTCTTTCAGGCAGGTGATGATCCTGTTTTGTAGATCTTCCACCTTCTTGGCTTCCTTCAGCCCGTGACGGTCTGCAGATGGCATCCAAATTATCGTCGTTAATAACAATAATAATAATAGTAATGATAATAATAACTGTGGCTCTGATTCCTGGCCGGTTGGGGTGAAACCTGACAAGTGTCTCTTTACTCCACACACACCCCCCGGCGTCTCATCACATTGTCTCAAAGTGCTTTGAGTGAAGCCACAAGCGTTCCCCCCCCTCCACCACCCCCCACCCACCCACCTCCCTCCCCCCACAGTTGTCCCAGGCTCCGCTACTGTTAAGCGCCCAAGAAGTTGCCCCACATAAAGGTCACTCAGTGAACAATAACAACAACACACGGCGCTGGACAGTCAGGGATTTGGGCCCGAGCTGGGGGTTGGGAACAGGAGGGGGTGGAGAGCGGGGAGGGTGGTGGTGGGGTGGGGGGGGGGGGGGGGGCGAGGTGGAGGGGCTGTGGGGACAGAGTTCCAAAGGTTGGGGGCGGAGAGGCTGAAGGTCTGACCGCCAATGGTGGGTTGGGCTGGGTGGGGCCTGAGGGACGGGAGGAACTGACCTGTGATCATAACCAAAGCGGCGAGGCACGAGAAACTGGACACGTCGATCTTCATGCGTCGCAGAGCGGCCGAGAATTCAATGATGGAGTCAATCCACTCCCCGAAGCCCCTCACACACTCCTCCCGATGCAGCACTGCCCCGTTACAGAATATCAGCTTCCCCTCCTCGGGGTTAGACCTGCAGGCGGCGGCAACGACAACACGAGCTTTAACAGTAGTCGATGGCAAGCCAGAAATAATAATAATAATAATAGTAATTATGATGCTGATGATATGATCCTGGCGTTTGACCCGGCGCCTCACCCCGTCGTCGAGATGTCACAAAGCGCTTCATGGGATACGCTGTCAAGTGTAGTGACTGTGTGCGGGGGAGTAAGGAAACTTGCCTAAGGTTTCGCCCTGACCTGACCCACCCGGGAATCGAACCCGGGTCCCTCCGGCTCGCGAGGCGAGGGCTCTAACCCCCGAGCTACAGGGACTCCACTGGGGATTCAATCCCCCTGTACGCTGCCCTAACGAGTCCCTACCTGTAGGCCAACCGCAGGATAAACACCTCCAGGAACGCCGACTCCAGGAGCAGTTCCCGATCCTCTTTGGGAAACGCGCTGAACCCCGGGATCTTCTCCGCCCACTTTCGGATCATCTCCATGGAGGACGACAGCAGCTCATAAAACTGCCGGATGTGATCGGCCTCGTCCTCTGCGGAACGTTCCGCTGCGGGTTCCTGAAACTGACCCCCGGAGAGAGAGAGAGACCCCGTCAGCGATCACTTACCCTCAGCTCCTCCGCAGCTCGCCATCGCACAGCGAGCGCCCTTAACAACAACGACAGCGGCAGTAATAATCCTGCCACTCGACCCGGCGCCTCATCGCGTCGTCGAGACTGCTCAAAGGGCTTCACGGCATAATCCTGTCGAGTGTAGTGACTGTGTGTTTGTGTACGTGTGTGTCTGTGTGTGCGTGTGTCTGTGTGTGTGTTTGTGTGCGTGTGTCTGTGTGGGTGTGTGTGTCTGTGCATGTGGCAGGGTGGGGCGAGAGTAAGGAAACTTGCCCAACATTTCCCACCCTCCCACCACCACCCCCAGCCCCCCTTCCTGACCCACCCGGGAATCGAACCCGGGTCCTCTGGGCGTGAAAGAGCAGAGAAATAGGATTGAAAGGTTCGCTCTTAAGCACAACGCGGACACAACGGGTCCGACCTCCCTCTTCTGCACCGTACGGTTCCACAGACATTCCCTTTACCTCTCCTCCCGATTATCCCACGGGGGTGGGGGGGGGGGTTACCTTGGAATAGTCGAGGCTGGACGCTCCGGGGTTGGAATCGATGTGAGCCCTGACCAGCGCTGAGAGGAGACTGACCGGGGCGCCGGAAGGAGCGGAGTCCGGAACATTCTTTGGCTTGGACGGTAGGCGGCCCCTGCGACCTTTGAGGCTGTCGGTCCGGACCACTGGGAGAGAGAGAGAGACGCGGACCAAGGCACAGGGGGTTTAAACCACGACAACAACAACGACATCGACAGCTTGCACCGCGAAGGAAAGGTTCGCGAGCAACTCACCTTATAACTACAACAACAACAACAAGATTGCATTTATAGAGCGCCTTTCACGTCGGGAGGACGTCCCAAGGTGCTGGACAGTTGGGTCGGGACCCGAGCATTAGGGGGGGGGGAAATGGTCAGGGTGAGGGGAGGGAAGGGAAGGAGCGAGGAGGGGGAGATGGTCAGGGTGAGGAGAGGGAAGGGAGGGAGCGAGGAGGGGGGAGAGAGTCGAGAGGGGAGCTGAAGGCTGAAGGTCGAAGAGAAAGGTTTTGAGACCGGCCTTGAAGGAGAAAAGGGAGGAAGCGGCGAAGGCACTGGGGATGGAGTTCCAGAGCCTCGGGGCTGAGAGGCTGAAGGCCACCGAGGGTCGGGCGGTTGGGGCGGGGGATGTGGAGCAGACCGGAGCCGGAGGAACGGAGGTACGTGGGGGGATAGTAGGTCGGAGAGGGAGGAGGGAGCGAGGCCGGGAATGGCCTTGTAGGTAAGGATGAGGAACTAGCGTTCGTCATATATACAGGGGAAACTTCACTCAGCCAACCTTCCCCCCACCCCCCAACCACACACCCCCCCACACCCGAATACCGCCCCCACCCCCCACGCTCCCTCTCCCCCCAGTACTCACCCTCCTTCACCATTCCCACCCCGAGGCACTTCTGAAATCGGCAGAATTGACAGCGATTCCGTCGGCGTTTGTCTACGGGACAGTCCTTGTTGGCCAGACACACGTACTTGGCATTTTTCTGCACAGTTCGCTGCGGAAACGGGAATAAACACGGTGACGATCATGAATCAGTATTGAATAATAATAATAATAATCTTTGCCTTTGACCCAGCGCCTCATCACGCCGTCGAGGCGTCTGGAAGCGCTTCAACATAGTACGCTGCAAAGTGTAGTGGTTGTGAGTGTGTTTTGCGGGCGAAACGCGGCAGCCAATTTTTGCGCCCAGCGACGTCCCCGCAAACAGCCGTGGATTGAGTGATCCGACAATCCGGTAACCACTGGGCTGACTACCACGATTATATTTATTTAAACATGAAAAAATTTAAGTGCTCCTTCCTCATCGCAGCAACGATCGGGGGCTTTCCTGGCAGAGATATTGTTGCCAGTTAACTCGGAGATCGTCAGGGAGCCTAAATATCTGCAAAACAACTTGTTTACCCCTCAACCCCCTTCCCCCCAACCGCCCCCCCCCACCTCCTCCTCCACCCCCCACCCCAATCCCATTCTTGTCCTCTCTTCCCAATTCCCTTCCGGGATTCGCAATCCAGCCTTACAGCTGTGCTGAATAGGGCCTTGTTCGGGATCGTCCATATGTTTGTCTGTTGTCAGTCTGTTGACAGTATTCATCATATCAAAGGTTTCCTGTGTTGTCTGATGGACAGCGGAATAAGTAACTCTCACTCTCTCTCTCTCTCTCTCTCTCTCGCTCTCTGCCCCTCTGTCGCTGCTCCTTACAAACAAACAGACTCCCGCACGATTAAATCAATAATAATTCCTGCGTTCAGTCCAGCGCCTTATCACGTCGTCGAGACGTTTCAAATTGCTTCACGAGCAATTACTAGACCACGGTCCACCCAGTTTTCCTGCCATCAACCATCCCGGCAGTCATCTGCACTGTGTCTCCCCCAGATATGATTCCCTAACAGAAATCTCTCTCATTCGTCCTTGGAAGAATCAACACTTTCTTCTTCCACCGTCTGTCCGTCTGTCCGTCTGTCTGGTCTGTCTGTCTCGAGCGCCTGATAGGTAGGTTTTACTAACTCGCTCACCAAAGTAGTGTTTCCACAGATTTATTGTGAATTGCTGTGGCTGTGTATTTTGTGGGCAAACACGGCAAACCCAATATGTTCACAGCAACAAAATATACAGTCAATCCACTTTACCGTATGATCCGTGAAGCGCTTTGTGACGTGCTATAAGGGGCTATATCCCATGCCAGGCTTATTATTATTAGTAGTAGTAGTAGTAATAATATTAATATAACCTTAGCTTCCTAAAGTCTCTAAGGCAAGTCTGTCAATTAGATGGCGGACTCGGTCAGTTTAAAGTAAAAACGGAAAAGGGGGAAATATCGCTTTAGACGGATCGAGAGAGAGAGAGAGTCAAATGTTAAGAGAATGCACTTGGGGAAAACTACACAAGTCACACGGCAAACCACAGCTTTGTGTTATTAAGTTTTCTTGACCGAAAGCAGGTTAGTCACAGGGCACACGGCTTAATTTACCCTCAGCTCTGCAGCTATTATTAAATACTCATAAACTTCACGGTTGAATGAAGTCCAGTGATCACTGGGGCAGATTAAAACCTGTTGGGGGGCACCAATACACAGTGTCCTGAATCAGTCAACTGGGAAATATAAAGATATTTGACACAGCGCCTCATCAAGTCGTCTCAAAGCGCTTCCCAGGATGCACTGTAAAGTGGAGTGACTGTGTGTTTTGTTAGGCGACGTCCCCACAAATCGTTGTGCATGAAGTGACCGCAATAAATAATGAATTGGCTGTGCGCGTTTCGCCCACAAAATATACAGTCAGGAACCTTTACCGTATGTCCTGTGAAGTGCTTTGGGACGTGCGTGGTGTGTGTGGGGGGGGGAGGGGGGGTGTGGGGGGTGCGTGTGGGGGTGTGTGTGGTGCATGTAGGGGTGGGGCTGTGAGCTCATGTGGTGAGAGTGGTCGGAAGTGCGGGTGGGGAAATTCTCTCGCAGGTTTTAATAATAAAAGGACAAATTAGTCAGTGTTGAATCACTGGACAGATGTGAAGGTCTCTCAAGAGGCAAACAGGCGCGCGATTTCCCTGCTCCTCACTGCGCCGATCAGTCAATTTGCGCACAACAATGTCTCGCACACAGCCACAAAGCCAGACACCAAATTTATCTGGGGGAGGGTTTCGGGCAGGACACCGGGGGAGAGAAAGAGGGAGGGAAGGAGGGAGAGAGAGAGAGAGAGAGAGAGAGGGAGGGAGGGAGGGAGGGAGGATTACCGACGGGACCTTGGGTTAATGTCCCATCCGAAGGACGGCACCTCTGACAATTCAGTGCTTTCCCCCATCACTGCACTGGAGCCTCAGCCTCGTCTGACATGGGGTTTGAACCCACAAACTTCTGACGTGACAACATAATAATAGTCATAATAATCTTTGCATTTGATACAGGGACTTATCACACCTTCGAGACGTCTCAAAGCGCTTCTCAAGATACCCTGTGAAGTGTACTGACTGCGTACAGTATTTTGTGGTCAATAATGCACAGCGACGTTCCCACAAACAGCTGCGGATCGAGTGACCGAATTGTTATTATTTTTATTTATTATTTAAAATGACTATTATGATGATCAAGATTTTTTTGGGGGGGGGAACGGGACAAGTGGAAAGTAATAAGGCCCTGTAGCAAATGCAACGATTATTATTATTATTATTATGATGATGATTATTGCTGTGCATAAATCGGTCCGCGTACCAAACACACACAGTCACTACACTGGTCTGAAAAGCTCTGCAATCGTGTAAAATACCTTGAAGAAGCCTTTACACCCCTCGCAGGTCCGAACGCCGTAATGCTGGCACGAGGCATTGTCCCCGCACACGGCGCACTGACCCTCGCTGGGTGGGGGGTTGCGGGCGGGGGATGAGGGGAGGAGGGGCTTCTCTAGCTCCGGGGGGATGTGCCCGTCCAGTAATCGAGCCCCAGGATCCATGGGAAGAACCGGGAACGCCGTGTAGGAGATGGAATCCACCAAGTGCTGGACGGAGTCGGGAGGGCGGGCGCCGGCTTCCAGGTGCTGGTGGCACAGGGGCAGGCCAGAGTCCGTGGGCAACTGCTTGAGGGAGAAGAAGGAAAACTGGGAGCCGTTCTTGTGTTGATCCGTCAAGGCGTCCATCTCTGCGTAGGGGTGAGGCAGGGAGTCCTCCCAGGTGGACACTTGTGGCATTGGCAGAGCCGGGTTGGAGGATGGGATGGAGCAGGAACCGTTGTAGTACTGGGAAGGTCCACAGGGGGGCAGCATGTCCTCCAAGTGCATGTTGATGGAGGCCGGGTAACAGCCAAACATCTGGAGGTCATCCAGCTTGAAGGTTGACTGCTGGTTGGCCAGCATTAACTGGTACAGATAGGAGTCAAGGTCCGCGCCATTGGGGTCCACGATGGTGTTGAAGCTGGGCAGCGAGGTGGTGGCACTGATCTCAGTGGCAGTCAGGTCCATGCCCAACTTGACAAACTCCGGGGTCAGCAAGTCAGAGCTGTAGTTCTCGAAGTTGCCCCGGCCTGCAGCAAACTCCCCCCGTACTGTGCCTGGAGACAAGGCATCACTGCAAAGGGAGGGAGGGAGGGAGGGAGAGAGAGAGAGAAAGGGCTCGTGAACGATTGGCACCAACAACAACTTGCATTTACACTGCGCACCTCAGGCAGGGTAACGTCCCAGAGCCCTCGACAGCGACAGAACACAACGCCGACGACAAATTGCACCATTCCCGTGGGGAGGGCGTGTCCGTAGAAACAGGAGGAGGAGGAGGCCATTCAGCCCCTCGAGCCTGTTCCGCCATTCTATCAGATCATGTACCTCAACTCCCAATTACCCGCCTTGGCCCCGGGTTCCCTCGATCCCCTGACCCGACCAACGTCTCTCCAGTTCGATTTTTCACAATCCTATGGCATTTTTACGGAACATTTACTTTGCGGCTGTTGATGGGGACGTCTCTGGGTTCCAATCTGGTCAGGGTTCACGAAAGATACGCAGTCACCACACTTGCCGGCTGGATGGCCGAATGGCAGGTCAGGTTTCCGCAGGGCTCTGGGATTAGGAACTGGCACGAGAGACATTTGTGTAATCAGACACTGTCCATGACACCACGTTAAGAGCAATCTGAACTCAACTCCACTCAACTCCAATTGGTTTTGGTTTCTTTTTGTGTCGCCACCTACTGTTCCTGTTAAGCTCGTGCAGCCCCGGTCGTTAAGAGACGTTTCAATGCGATGCTGTAGCCGGTAAGTAATAATGATAAGGAGTCCCTGTAGCTCAGCGAGAGGACCCAGGTTCGATTCCCGGCCGGGTCGGGAAGATACCTTAGGTGAGTCTTCTAACTCCGCGCACACACACGCACACGCACGCACCCCTGTTTAGCAGTAAGTAGGAACCCGGTTGTTAGTCAATGGGCAGATCGCTTCACGGGGGTAATAATCCCTCTCAAAAATTTTTTATAATAATAATAATTTGGCCGCTCAATCCATCACTGTTTGTGGGGACGCTGCCGGGAGTAAATGGCTTCCGTGTTTCACCAACAAAATATACAGTGACTACACTTTACAATATATTCTGTGAAGCGCTTTGAGACGCCTCCACGAGGTGATAAGGCACTGTATCAAATGCGAGAATTATTATTATTATTATTATTACGATGATGTTGTAGCTACAACTGAGCAGGTGACGAATCAGGTCAATGTACGTTCGGGTGAGACATCTTCCGCCAATCTGGGACTTCAGCTTTTCTTCTTGTTAAAGTGACCGCCTCAGCCTAGACTTGGGGGGGGTCGAACCCACAAGTGTCTGACTCAGAGACGAGAGCGAGAGAGTCGGTGGGGTTGAGAGCGAGAGAGTTTGCCTCTGACTCGAAGGCCCGAATGCTACTGACTGAGTCTGTGCCGACGAGTTGCCGTCACCCAAAGGGAATTCCCCCGAAGACAAGAAGTGGGTTCCTCACCTGTCAGAGGTTACACGGGTTTTGCCGTCACCACCACAAGAACATAACATTCCCTTAAGATGAAACAAAACCAAAGGTCCATCCAGTTCACCTTCCACCCTCCATCCTGGCAATCGCTTGCACATGTTGTGTCCCAAACTGTAGCCTGTATCCCCCCCACCACCTCCGCCCTCCCCCCGGCCCCCTACCACCAAGATATTTCCCAACAGAAATCTCTCTTTCAACACTTTCTGCTTTCACCATCTGTCTGTCTGTCTGTCTGTCTGTCTGTCTGTCTGTCTGTCTGTCTGTCTGTCTGTCTGTCTGTCTGTCTGTCTGTCTGTCTGTCTGTCTGTCTGTCTGTCTGTCTGTCTGTCTGTCTGTCTGTCTGTCTGTCTGTCTGTCTGTCTGTCTGTCTGTCTGTCTGTCTGTCTGTCTGTCTGGTGTTTCCTCAGATTTCTTCTGAATTTAGGCTTAGAATTTAGGCTTAGAATCTTCTTCCGAAACTCACCTCCGACAAATTCACACGTCAGGAAATTTCACTGTGTCTGGAATGGAGTGCGCTCTCGCTCTCTCTCCCTGGAGGGACGCCCCCCCCCCCCGCTTACCTAATTCCGGAGAGTATTAGGCACAAGTTGGGTGAGGGCCAAGGCTTTTTGTGGGGGGTGGGGGGGAGCCCAGAGTGTGCGTTGGGGTAACTGCTGGAGTCTAACCAGCTAAACCCACACAGAGCTCGGCCACTAAGAGAGAGAGAGAGCGCTGTCTGGCCAAGCTTTCCCACTGCTCGTCCAGCCGGGACCACCCTCCCCGCTAGTTAGGGTTTTGGCTGTGGGGTTAACAGGAGCCGAGGGGGAGGATTTCCTGCCCCCAGTGACTGGTCGGCCCTTCCGGGTCCTGCCGATGGCTGAGCCGGGCCGGGCCGGGCTGCCATCACTCACCACAGGAGCACAGAATTAAACGCACGGATTATTATTCTTTATTATTATTGCTGTCATTCGAAAACGTCCTAAAATGGGAGTTTGTGGCGTACTCTGGGATGTTGTGAACCGTGATCATTGTGACTGAGCTGAAATTCAGCCTCAGCTTTGAGGTTCCTTCTCTGTCGCTTCACACCCCCCCCAAAAAAACTACTGAAAGCAAACTGAAAGAAAAACTCAGGCTTTTTGTGGCTAAAGCCAAATTCTGGGTCCCTCGGAATCGCAACTGAAACGAACGAAGTCCAGGGGAAATCTCCTCTCAGGGCCTTTCCAATGACTTGTCTCTTGAGTTTCATTTCAGATTTGGAAATCAAACGCCTTAGACTTGACCGTATGCCCTGTTCGGGAGGACGTCACAAAGTTCCCGCGATGCTACTCGTAAACAGAAGGGAGTTTCTCTCTCTTGGGGTCCTGACCCGACAATCTTCCTCCCCACCCACCCCCACCCCCACCCACCCCGCAACTCCACCCACTCACTCCCCACCCCCCCGGAAAAAAATAAATAATCGGTCACCGTTTTCGTTTGAGAGGCGTTGATTTTAAACGCGATTGTTTATTATTGTTGTTAGTTGGAAACTTTCTAAAGTGAGAGTTTGTGCCATATCCTAATTGTGACGATGATAATAATAATAATAATCCTTGCATTTGATACAGCTCCTTACTTCAAAACGTCTCGAAACGATTAATCGTTTATATCGCGGCACTAAATCAAGTGCAAGGATTGTTATTGTGACGTATGGAATTCTCAGTTTGTTTTGGATCCTCATAAGTACGGTGACGGGTTTCCGCGCGTGAGGGCAAAAGAGGAAAGGAGTAAAGAGCAGAGAAGCAGTGGTGGAGGGGGTGGGGGAGGGGGGGGTTGGAAGGGTGTCAAGACAGGATGTTGGGGAGTTGGGGGGGGGGGGGGCGCGGAAGGCAGAGAGTGGGGCCAAGTGTTGAAAAGTATTTGGGAAATGAAAGTTATGGGCGCTTTTTTCGAGTGAATTCACGTTCCCCGTATCGCTTTCCAGTTGACTTTAGGATTATCTGTTCACTGGAGGGCTCAGGGCTAAATATTACGCCTTCGGGATTACTGTGGAGTCCTGTAGCTCAGTGGTTAGAGCACTCGCTTCGCAGGCGAGAGGAGCAGGTTCTGATTCCCAGGCGGGGCAAAACCTTAGGCAAGTTTCCTTACTGCACACACACACACGCACACGCCTGTTTACCCAAGTAGGAACCTGCTGTGTGAGTCGATTTACAACATACTGTAAACGTGCAGTGACTGTGTGTTTTGTGGGTGAAGGCGGGAGCCAATCGCGCACAGCGACGTCCCCACAAACAGCTATGGAGTGAGTGAGTGAGTGAGTGAGGGAGGAGGGAGGAGGGAGGAGGAGGGAGGGAGGGAGTGAGTGAGTGAGTGAGTGAGTGAGGGAGGGAGGAGGGAGGAGGAGTGAGGGGGGAGTGAGTGAGTGAGTGAGTGAGTGAGGGAGGGAGGGAGGGAGGATTTTCTAATTTTATATGGCAGATTTTTGGATGGGACACCACGAGAGATTCCGTTCTCGGTTGCAGTTTGTGTCAAGGAGATCGCTAACGTCCACCTGAACGGGGCACAGATGGGGAGTGAGAGGTTTAACATCTCATCCAAAGGTCAGTGTCTCCAAGCGAAGGGGCTTAAACCCACAGCTTCTGACTCGGCGTCAAGTGTGCTACGGACTGACCCCCCCCACACACACACACACACACAGTACTGAGATGCTGCTGCATTATATAATAATAATAATAATACCTCCCAAAAAAATGTGGTCACTCAATCCACGACTGTTTGCGGGGACGCTGCTGTGCGCAATTGGCTGCCGCGTTTCGCCCCCAAAATACACAGTCAATTTCACTTTACAGTGTGTCCTGTGAAGCGCTTTGAGACACCAAATGCAAGGATTATTATTATTGTTATATGCTGGAGTTTAACCAGTTAAATGCCCACAGCTTGGGAGGGTTGACAAGCTGTTAGCTGCTGTTCAGCTAAAGTTCACCCGAAGCATTATAACATTCTGGCTCGCACGAACACTTGGCATCATATAAAACAGTCTGAAAATACACTGCGTACAGGGGGAATATACATTTCAACACAGTTTATCTCACAGTTACCGGCGTTTAGATTGGGAAAAATCACCCTGCGAAATCTCCAACCAAAAAACTTTATTCTTTTTTTTTAAATCGGTGGAGACCGGAGGCTACGAGGGAGAAATTTCAAAAGTAAAACAACTTAAGAAACGATTATATTTCACCGCCCACAAAATACACAGTCACTACACTTTACAGTATAACCTGAGACGTCTCAATGATGTGATAATGCACTATATCAAATGCAAGGATTATTATTATTACAATAATAATCATAATCATAATAAAAATAACCTTTGCAGTTTGCAGAGTGACAGCTTTTCTGGGTGTGTTTTTTAAACCAAGTTACTGTTGGAATTACATTCACATTCCGTGTTTTGCTGACAGTATTTTTTTAAAGGAAAAACATTTTTAAAAAAATCATGGAGACTAAAAAGAGGGAGTCAGGAAATCCAACTCGCAATTTGTCCTGAGTCGCTGAGGTTTAAGCAAGAATGCTAAAGCTCCATCCACACTTCCACTTCTCTTCGACCGAGCCTTCAGCTCCCCTCTCGACTCTCTCCCCCCTCCTCGCTCCCTCCCTTCCCTCCCCTCACCCTGACCATCTCCCCCCCCTCCTCGCTCCCTCCCTTCCCTCCCCTCACCCTGACCATCTCCCCCCCCCCTCGCTCCCTCCCTTCCCTCCCCTCACCCTGACATCTCCCCCCACTCCTCGCTCCCTCCCTTCCCTCCCCTCACCCTGACCATCTCCCCCCCCTCGCTCCCTCCCTTCCCTCCCCTCACCCTGACCATCTCCCCCCACTCCTCGCTCCCTCCCTTCCCTCCCCTCACCCTGACCATTTCCCCCCCCCACCACCCTAACGCTCGGCTCCCGACCCAACTGTCCAGCGCCTCGGGACGTCCTCTCGACGTGAAAGGCGCTCTATGAATGCAATCTTGTCGTTGTTGTTCTTAACCCTTCAAAAAGTTTTTTTTGGAAAAATCTTTTAAAAGGCGTCTTCAAGACTTTGAAGAGGGTCTGTGTGTGTGTGTGTGTGTGTCTGTGGTTTTTTTTTTGCTTTGGCAAAAACTTTCTATTTATCCCACCTATTGATACTCACTCTCTCATTGATGTCACAGAAATCCTCACCTGTTTAGACTGATTTACCTCTCTACATCTCCCTCTCTCTCTCTCTCTCTCTCACTGTCTCTCTGTTACTCAGTGTCTTACAGCTGCAGAGAAAGTCAGCAGTTTAATTCTCATCAGGTCTCACACTGACTGATGTGTGTGTCCTTCACAACTCAGAGAGAGAGAGAGAGAGAGAGAGAAATCACAGCACATCTGTCCCACACTGAGCAGAACAGAGACATAACCACTGGAGCAGATGGAGCACTGTCCAAAACTGGTAATAAACTTTAAAGTCATAATGAAAGTCCCCCCCAGGAGGACAGGGAGAGAGGGAGGGAGGGAGGGAGGGAGGGAGGGGGGAAAAAAGTGCATTTTTATTTCAATTGTGGCAAAAAAAATGCCCTTTTTTTAAAAAAAAGAAAATAACTTTTTTGGGGGAAAGGAGAGAGAAAAAATATATATAAAGACGTGTATAAACGAATGGAATAGAGATGGATATTCACACCAATTCCCTTTGGTCACTCCCCAAACCAGAGCAGTTCACCAGACAGGTCAACAGGTATCGCATATACTTATATATTTAAAATAAACAGATTTAAGGTGTTGCAAATGTTGTTTTAAATCGACAAAGTTAATTATACTTTTGTTTAAGTTAGAGCTGGGAGAACATACATACACACACACACATACATACACACATATATACACACACACACATACATACATACACACACACACATACATACACACATATATACACACACACACATACATACATACACACACACATACATACACACATATATACACACACACATACATACATACATACACACACACACATACATACATACATACATACACACACACATACATATACACACACACACACATATACACATACACACACACACATACATATACACATACACACACACACACACATACATACACATACATACACACACACATACATACACACACACATATACACATACACACACACATACATACACACACACAGACAGACAGACAGACAGACAGACAGACAGACAGACAGACAGACAGACAGACAGACAGACAGACAGACAGACAGACAGACAGACAGACAGACAGACAGACAGACAGACATACCTGTGGATCTTAATTAAAAGCAATGTGACTTGGGTTGAGATGTGAGGGCAGGAATTCCAGGTGTAAGTGAACGGGACCATATACATGTGTTGCCCTCTGTGGTTCTGCTCCACAGTGACACCGATACAGAAATACCAATATCCAGTGTTTGGAGCTGAGAGTGAGACTGAGAGTGAGAGACAGAACCACTCGTCAGTAACTGTGACCAGTGTCAGTGTTCATTACTGGGGGGGGAGGGGCTGAGAGGGGGGAGGAGGGGCCAGTGGTGAGTTGAGACCCGCCCACTAGTACCAGGCCCCTCCTACCGCCCCATGTGGGCGTGTCCCCCGGGGTGATGGACCAATGGATGAAGGCTGGAGTCAGGCCAATGGGCGTTGGCTCAGAGCTCCATTGACGCACTGGAGCCAAACATTGGAACAGGTGTTGGAGGCAAAGGCTCAGAGAGTGGGGGCTATGGGCTGAGGGGTGGGGGGTGTCCCCTCTCAACCACCGACTGCAGCCGTTACTGGGATCCTCCGCGCGGATTCCTTCCATTATGTCCTTTCGGGAAATTTACAGTAAAGGCAGCAACGCCGACGCCAACAGCAGCTAAACGTGTCTATATCTCCTGCGCCCCTTGGGGTTAGGCTGAGCGGCCGATCGCTTTTCCCGGGGTAATAATGGGTGTGTTTTTTAATAAATGAATAGATTTGGGCCGCTCGATCCACCGTTGTTTGTGGGACGGGAGGCCTGCCGGGGCGCGAATTGGCTGCCGTGGTTCGCCCGCACAACGCACAGTCACTGCGCCGCTCCGCAGCGCATTCTGTGAAGCGCTCGAAGACGTGATAAGCCGCTGCATCAAAGGCGAGGATTATTGTTATCGTCGTTACGAGAATAATCACAAGAATAATAATCATAATAATCTTTGCAGTCTTTTTTTTTAAATCCAATGTTTTCCCCCCACCCCGTCCCCACCCCCCCCCCCCCCCACCCCCAGGGATTATTACCCCCTGGAGAGCGATCCACCGATCGACTAACAATCCTCGGGTTCCTACTTACCGCTGGGTAAACAGAGGCGTGCGTGTGCGGGGGCGGAGTAAGGAAACCTGCCTAGGGTTTCGCCCCGACCCGGGTCCTCACGCTTGCTGGCGAAGGGAGCGACCGGTGGGTTCCGAGTCCGAGATGAGAGTGCTATCCGTGTGAGCCCGGTCTGACACCTGGTTGATATGTCCTAACGTGACATGCACTTGATTGACCCGACTCAGCCTGTGCATGTCAGCCCGGGTCACCTTGAGGGTGGAATCAAATTTAGTCGCTTAAAATAAAATGGTTCATGATACAGGTTCTCAAAGCTCACCCCCCCCCCCCCCCACCCCACCCCACAGCCTCCCTACCACATTTATCACTGGCTACACTTAACGTCACTTATTGCTGGTTTCACTTGACATCACTCCAGCGCTCCTGTGCCTCGTCTCCCTCACTCCCATATAGGATACCGTCTGGAACCCAACCTGTCGCGCCAGTTGCTCTCCGAGCTCACTGGGCCCCAGAATTCTGCCTGGTCTTAGCCCTCTTGTCAGAACTCAATCTCATTTTGTAATGCTAATCCTTGAATGCGACGCGGAGCCTTAGCCTGTTTGACCTGGTAAGGCTTCCCTCCCTCAACTCATTCAACATCTGTCTCAAGACCTTCCTCTTTGACCGCACTTTCCCCCCACTCCCCCCCATCCCAACCCACCTCAACCCCAGCTTGAGCAACTTGCGACATCCGTCAGATGCGAAAGACGCTGTATAAATGTAAACCTGTATTGAATCGCTCTTCGATAACAACGACAACTTGCATTTATTTGCACGGTGAAGTGACTGTAGACACTGTAGGTTGAAGAGGAAGGTCTTCAGGTACGACCTGAAGATGACAAAGGAGTGGGTGAGGAGGAGGGAGGGATTGAGGGAGAGTGTGACAGAGTTCTGGGGCATTTAAAAGAGGCAACACCCAGACACAATGGGCAGAATGGCCTCCTTCTGTGCCTTAAATATAGTCATGTAGTTCCTGACCACAATTTTGATGTTGGCCGGAAGCCAACTTTCCATTCACAGATAATAATATTGGCAACAACGTCATAATTAGCACCTCAACCTTAACTGGATCTTCTCTGGATCTTATCTGGAACACTCTCTGGTATTGTACAATTTGCCACCTGGGTCCAAAAATAACATCGGTGATCTCGCTCGGGCCCCTCCCGCCACGATCGGGAGCACTTGCTTTTAGAAAGATGTCGAGCTGGTTTGGGTGGTTTTGAGCGCTCCCAACACATTCCCCGATGATCACACCCAGATTCCTCCAAAACTTGCCCAATTGTTTCGTTGGTATTCCCTCCCACCGCCCCCCCTCGCCAGTGCCGTCATCAGCAGAGATTGTTTCCACTTGATTGGCGTCATCGCCATTCACCTCCACCAGGCGCGAGTCACGCATTGTTTGCCCGGGTCAGTCGAGGTTGTAGGTTCAAGCCCCCATCCACGTCACATCTCAACGTCACATCTCATCTAATAATAACAACAATAACAATAATAATAATTGCATTTCATACATCACTTAGTTACTTTGTCGAGACGTCCGAAAGCGCTTCGCAGGATATACCGCAAGGAGTAGTGACCGTGTATCTTCTGGGCAAAACGCGGCAGCCCAATTACTCGCAGTGACGTCCCGCAAACAGTCGTGGATTGAGTGACCACGTTATTATTTGTTTATTACCCCCTGAAGGTAATAAACTACCGGTCCTACTGACTGCTGGTAAACAGAGTTGTGTGTGTGTGTGTGTGTGGAGTAAGGAAACTTGCCTAAGGTTTTGCCCTGAACCGCCCGGGAGTCGAACCCGGGTCTTCTCGCTTGCGAGGCGAGGGCTCTAACCCCTGAGCCACAGGTACTCCAGTAAGCAAGCAAGCAAGTAATAAAACCTTAGGCAAGTTTCCTTACTCCACACACACGCCTCTGTTTACCAACAGTCAGTAGGAACCGGTTGTTAATTGCCTTAAGGGGTAATAAAAAGTAAGTAAAGTAAGTAAGTGACTAAGTAAGTAATCCTGCAGTCGTGAAGTTGGCAGCGTAATTGAGCTCTGTGTTTTACTCTGTTCCATCGGAACACAGAACCTCCTCTGTTTAATCAAACAGAAAACTCTCTCACGCACAAAGGCAGAGAGCAGAGCTGACTGGAAGCTGTTTGGTTGCATTGTAACCCTACACTGTTGTGCGGCGATGATACATCTCTCGCTGACACGCATGCTCTCTTTGTTCCGCCCCAGGTCCTGTGGAGAAAGACGTCAATCGGTTTACTTAGGTGGGATTCCCACTGTCTGTGTCACCGACAGAAATAGGCGGCACAAAAGAATTCGGCGCTTAAAATAGCCGGGAGCTGCTCAGCCCAATCACCGATAACACACTGTGACGCTCAGCCCAGCACTGCCTTCTCTATACTTAGTGTCGCTATCTGGGATTCTCAATCCATCCCCGACGAGGTATTTCATCAATTTCGAAAGACGATGCTTTCCAACATACTGCGGTTGTCAGTACGTGGGGAGAGACTCTCTGGTGGCTCCTCCCTCTCTCTCCCCACCCCCACCTTCTCTCCCTCCTCCGCCCGCCCGCTCCCAAGAATTATATAACAATCACCTTAGGTTTGATTCCTGGGCGTGTCAGGGTGAAACCTCGGGGAAGTTTCCTTACTCCACACACACATGCGCGCGCACTCCTCTGGTTACCCAGCGGTAAGTAGACACCTGGTTGTTAGTAGATTGGAGGATGGCTTTTCAGGGGGTAATAATCCTTCCCCCTTTCTCCCAACTCCCCCCCCCCACACCCACACACAAAAATGTGGTCACTCAGTCCACGACTGTTTGTGTAGACGTTGCTGGCTGTTGGCTGCTGCGTTCCGCCCACAAAATACACAGTCACTACACTTTGCAGTGCACCTCCCTACCTTTCCGACCTCCAATCCCCTCACTTCCCAGTCCACCACCCGGTCAGCGCCTCTGCTCGACTGGCCCTGGGCTCCTGCTCGTCCCTTGCACCCTCCGCCCCACCATCGCCCCGAAACTCTGGAACACTCTCCCTCAATCCCCCCGCCTTACCCCCTCTCTCTCTCAATCCCTTCGTCTTGCCCCCCCCTTCTCTCTCTCAACTCCCTCCCTCTTTCTGCCTTGTCCCCCCCTCTCTCCAGTCCCTGCCTGAAAACTTTCCTCTTCGATCGTATTTACAGCCATCTCTCCACCTCCCCCCAACACCCCCCCGCCTCATGCCCCCCACCACTGGCTCGGAGTCAGGCGCCGGGCCACTGTTAAGCGCTCTGAGATGCCGCCCTGAGTTGTTGCTGTTGTTGTTGTGTCCCGTGAAGCGCTTCGGGACGTGATTAAGGCACTGGGGGTCCAAACACAAGGATTACTGTTGAGCTGAACTCAGGTGCGAGATCTCGTCACCGGGTCAAGGCTCTCGGGAGAATGGAGGTGGACAACAGGCTCACACTGCCCACTGGTGGTGGGACAGGCCAATCGCAGCTCAGGCACAATCCCAATCCCAATCGCTCCGTTCACCTCAGGAACAATAGGAACAGAAATTACCCTTTTATAATAATAATGTGTGACTGAGAAATGTAATTTCATCTCGTGTCATAATAAAAATCATAATCCCCCCATTTGATAATGGTGCCTCAACGTGGGGGCTTCAACAACAACAACATACGGCATTTACATGGAGCCTTTCACTCAGGAGTACAGTCAGGGATTTGGGCCCAAGCTGGGGGTTGGGATCAGGAGGGTGTGGAGGGCAAAAAGCAGGGAGGGTGGGGTTAGGTGGGTGCGATCAAAGAGCCTCGAGGGTCTTGAGATGGACCCTTGAAGAAGGCAAAGGAGAGGGCCAGGTGGAGGGGACTGTGGGATAGAGTTCCAGAGGGTGGGACCAGAGAGTGTGAAGGCCACGGGGACATGGAGCAGGCCGGAGCCTGCTGAGCGGGGGGGGAGGGGACAGACCGGTATGGAGTTAGCAGGTCACAGAGGTAAGGAGGAGCGAGGCTGTGGGGGTCCTTGAAGAAGGTGATATCGAGCACTGTATCCTCTGGGTGATGGGGAGCCAATGGAGCCGGGCAAGGGTGGGAGTGGGGGGTTGATAGGGTCACGGAGCCTGGTGCGGGAGAGGACACCACTGTATCTGACTTAGAAACAAGAGTGCGATCGAC